TTCCATTTAAAACACTGATGTAAATCAGCAATAGAGAATTAGAAATATGATTGCATTTTGGCCTTCATGACCATAGAGATAATAACTTATGGTCTCATGCTGAGCAGATCTTAGATCCGCACTCTCCTGCTGTGCCTGTTACATGAAGGGAGGAACTTCAATGCCAAATAATTTGATTAGTAAAAATCAGGGCAAATTCTCATTAAAAGACTTTAGGCACATTTTTATATTAGGTAATATGTATGTAACTGAAGCCAGGTTTGTATCTGATTAAATATAAAAGGCATGAATATTGGGAAAAAAAGTCATATATTCATATGTTGTTGCTTTCTGGGCTGGTCTGTGGAAAACCCTGTAAGTGTTTCTGGATATCAGTGATGTGTACAGCAGCAGAGAGCATTACACATTAATGTTGATTAAATGCTCATAAAAGGTCATTAAATAGCAATAGAAACTACTGTGCTGAGTAGTACAAACAGACTATGTGTGTATGTTAAGAAAATTTTGGAATGCTTTCTTCAATACTGTTTCTGATCTCAAGAAAAAACATAACTTAGAAAAGATTCAAGAAAGAATAACAAAATTAGAGATGTGAGACATTTAAAAAAGAGGATACAAAGCCAGGGAATGGTTATTTTGGGGAGAAGGACAATGCAGTGAGAACTTAATTGATTATGATGGGTATAGCACAGATCAATCAATCCTTTTAACTGTATCTTTTAAATTAAGGAACAGAATTATGCTTATGGGAAACGACAACAAAATTGTAAGCAATGAAAAGACTCCCACAGGAAATTTGTAGTGGACAGTTCTGGAAGAGACCATCTGAGCAGGCATCAGGGCAGGATTTGAACAAAATGTGCATCACACAGAAAGAACAGGTGATGTGTTCTCAGACAGCACCATGGGGACACTCACTCTCCCAAAAATGGATGCAGAAATAAGCAAAGAGGAGAGAAAACCAACCTGGAATGGCCTTCGAGGCCTGTCATGTCTGTGGCATAAGAGACTGAAAAACAGAATGGGAGGCCAGAGGAAATATTGTGGTCATAGAACCAGATTTGCTAAATCCTAAAACTTAATCCCTCCTCTCCACATCCACACAGAATTTAGCTGTGATGCCTTTCATTTGAAACCATTGGAGTCAATAGCAATATCATATACACAGAAGTTTAAGATTACTGAAAATGCATGAGGTGCACACTGATTATTATGTCCATGTGTATTCATAGTCTACTTGTAATTAAGATGCCCTCCTTTCACATACAGCCTCTATTCACCTTCAGTATCTGTTTCTTTGTTTACACTGCCAGTAACTTAATAGAATATTTGTGACATAATTACTCTAATTAATGACCTCAGGAGACAATCAAAACTTTTTCACAAAGTTATTTTTAGAATTTTGGTTTTGGGTAGTTGTGTTGTTGTTATTGTAGCAAATTTCTTAATTATCAGACAACATGCTAATTTAAACCAGACTCTGCTTGTCCCTGAGAATAAGATTCTTAATATATAATTAACTACAACAACACTTTAGTTAGCTATGGTTTTCAGACACATATTGTATTTTTAAATATGCCTTCAGCAGCTGGGGAAGATACCAATATTGCATCTGCTGTTCCAGCTCTAGGCTAATTAATTCTCTACAAAAAAAATGCTTGCGGAAAGCAGAGATTCACATTAGATCTATGGACAAAAATAAAGATATTTAGCAATCCCTTTATCCTCAACTAATCCTTATCTCAGGTCTAGGAGCACTTTGACAGCTGTAACGGTGTTCTCTGAAGGTAAGGAAGACAACTGTGTGGGCTGAATGGCTTGTTCCATAAAGACTCTCTGTTAGGAGGCAATTAGTTAAGCTATTTAGATGTCTAGCTCTTAGATATCTTATTCCTTTTGAGATTGATGCAATCTGAGAGCTTAAGTAGCTTATTATGTCAATTGTTTTCAACAGGTTTGAGGAAAAGTAATAAAAAATATATATACCCCCCTATTTTTTTTTCTGAAACCTGCCCAAATCCCACTTGTTAATAAAAACATTTAATTTCCAAGTGATAAAAAACAGAAAAACTTCCAAAAGGGAAAATTATCTGCAAAAATGAGCTTGTGCTCTTTTTTTTCTAAGATAGTTCCAGTGCCCTTTCCCCCCTGAAAGTACAATCCTTTCTGTGCTAATTTCTGAAATAGAAGAAATCCTAAACTAAGAATCCAATGCATGTTGATTTGACAAAGGGAGAAGGGATATGCTAATGCAAAATAAATAGATGTAATTAAATTTATGCATGTCTTTGCAGTGCCAAGGAAAGAAAGGAGAAAGTTCTTATACTGGAACGTTGCTGGGATTAGTTTTGTAAAATCTTGGCTCTCTAGTATTTATCCTTTTGGAGCAATAAACCTCAAAAGGAAGCGCAGAATTTGAAAAAGTGGAACAAACCCGCAAGGATGTGAGCAGGCAATCTGAACAACCCAGTGAGACTGATTCTGCAGGAGCTCCCTTTGCCTCCTACAAACGCTGTTCGCAGAGATGTCCTCTCTGGGCACGCTGCACTTTCTCCAGCCTCACCTGCTCACGGTCCTGCATCGCCTCTGGGCTCTCCATGCTCTCCGTGGAGCCCAAGCTCTGCATGGAGCAGGGCAGGAGCCCCAGGCTGCCCTCCAGCCCCAAGGCCAGCACTCAGCCCTGGAGGCACCTCAGGATCCCCAGGTACCTCCCTGGCCCTGGACAGCAGCTCCAGCGGGTCCCTTGTCTCCCGTGCTCCAGCTGCCTGCCTGGAAATCAAACCTAAGTGTGCAGGAGACTGAGAAGGACAGAGAATTGGGCTGAGGTCCAGGATACCCATTTGTGGAGCTGCTGCCACATTAACCTCACTCCAAAGCCAGGAGTTTGCTTCCTTTTGCTTTACCCAAGATAATTAATGAGGCTCTTAAAATGTATCCTGCCTGTACTAAACAGGGAAGCCCATAGAGCACACCCGAAAGATGGCATGAGAAAATAGGATATCTGAGGAGGTGCTAACAGTTTTATTGGGTCTTAATGACAGGGAAAATTTTAAATCTGCTGGAAGACAGAGATTTCTTTTTCCCCAAGTGTAACAACATGCTCCTCCCAGGCACAGTATGGAGGTATGCAGCCCTTGGCTGGTCTGCACACAAAAATGATGCTGAAAACCCTCCAGTGGGCCCTGCAGAAGAAGCTCAGGCAGCAGTTTGGGGCGCTCCTCCTGTGCCATGTGCAGCAGCCCGTGTGACACCACCCATGCCTGATGGGCTGCCCCCAGCCTCAGTGCAAGTGGAGCCCCCAGCAGAGGTACTGCAGGCTCCCCCCAATTGCCTGCAGACTGGCTGCCTCCTGGGAATTCTTGTTTTACGAGTTTCAGAAGAACCAAACCCTCCACCAAACCAGCTCTCTGGAGAGTCTGGCATGCTGTCAATCCTGGAATGTCTGCAGGCTTTTAGTCCTGTCTGAGGCTGTGTGTGGAGATGATTATTCTGTATTTCATGTTTACAGGCATGCACATGCCTCTTTGTTGACATATAAGTTAGTTACATGAGGTCTCCTCCCATGCAGAAGCACAAGTACTCAGAGTCGACAGCTCTATCTGCAAAACCAGGTTTTATAGTATTGCACACAATATACAGGCTCAGGTAGGCATACACTCACATACAGAGGACAATCTTCTGCATTTCATCATTCATAACTAACCCATATTTTCCTAGAGAGACATCTGACCTGCCCATGATATAATCCTCAATGCATCCTTGGTGCAGCAAGACCAACAGATAGTTATTTTGAGGCTCAATAGTGAAAGGCTTGAAGTACAACAAAAATGCCATTGCCTTAGCAAGTGAAACATGCTCTATGTAGCATTTGCCTGCTTATGCCATGCCCTTGGTCAGGCACAGATGCAGCTGTCACTGATTCTGCACCTTGTGCATTAACAAATTGAACACTGACCTTCCAGCTGCTAAGGAGAATGAAATATTACACTGTGAGGGAAACTCAGAGGCTTCTGAGGGCAGGACATATGAAGGCAAATAGTTCCAAGGACAATACAAAGAATTTCTTTTTCCCCCTTCTGGTTACAGTAGCTCCAGTAAACTTGCTTGTAAAAAAGATTAGTTCTTCTAATATGCAGTTAATGGTCCTCTGCCTGGCATGCTCTTGCACTGTCTTGTGATTTATGAACCATTTCCATTTTAGGCAATGAAATTTTGACATGTGACATGGGATGTATGGAACTGCTCTCAACTGCCTTTGAGGCTAATTTTAAGCAAATCAGTCTGGAGTCTGGCTGTTGCCAAAAGCTTCAAATGGGTGCATCTTTTCCTTGGCAACCCCTTTTATGCTATGTGATCTCTTTATGGGCATTAGCTGCTTGGGATGCATAAACTTCCATTTATTATTTTCAGTAGCAACTGATACTTTCAAAGAAGGAGATCACTAGGTCTGAAGTAGTGGTATGAGTGACTGACATGCAAATCAGCCCTTAATGTGGTTCACCTTCCTCTCTGAAGATATCTCCTGCATCAGGGGACACATGGCTACTGCATTTGCCCCGCCTGCCTGGGGGCTGGCATTTTGGCATTCACTCCAAGGTGGCAGCCCTCAGCACTGCTGGAACAGCCCCCAGGGTTGGCAGTGCCATTTATGGCAACCATCAAGTTTCCTCATTTGCAGCTAAGATATGGCCAGCACTGCTCTGCAGCAGCAAGGAGGGGCACAGGGAGCCATGTACCTCCTGTGGCTCACCATCTGTGCCCCTGGGGTCTGTCATGCTGCCCACAGGATCAGGAGAGGATCTCTGACAAATGAGAGAATGGTACAACTTTACCTCATCCACTAAGCCCTCTCCATCCTTCTGAAAGGCAGCTTGTTTTACTTTTGAAGGCTGGTGGGCTTCTTGAACATAAGTGATGACCCTGGATGCACTGATCATGAAGGATTTACACAGCTGACTTGATTTTCCAAATTAGTGAAAATTAACAGTAGTATCCACAGTAGTGGCAGCTTATGGATGTGAGACCATTTGTTTACCCACAGAATACAGAAATCACTCTTCTGCCTTTGACCAGAGGTTTCTCTGGGCACCTGGAACTTACTTAGTACCTGATAAATGATTTGCAAACTGTTTGTTAAATTCAGTTAGTGCCAGTAGAGAGCTCTCCTTCAAACACATATTATGCCTCTCTCAAAGTACAATCCAGATTTGGGGCCATGTGTGAAATAGTCTGAGCTGTTGATGCATTTAATAAATACAAGATTTTCTCATTGCATATCTTAAAGCAAATATTTCATGATTTGTGCTGTTATTACAGATATTCCAACAGTTCTGCTTTTCAGTAGGGAGTGCATTAAAACCAAAGAACTCACGGAAAATCATATTGTCCTGGGCTCCTGGTACTTGAAGACTTTGGGAAGTCATGCAAAAGGAAGATGCCTTAGAAAGTGTCCAGATAAAGATTTTGCATGGGAATACCAGCATAGAACAGATGATGGGTGAAAATTTCTTTCTGATGGTAAGGCTCCTTGTTCACAGGGTTTGTTCCATATAATTAGAGGCTTGGTTTTTTTTTAATTTCAAAGAAATTTATAAGCAAGGGAGGGGCTTAGGAGACCTGGAAACTTTCATATACGTTAATTTCATGATCTATAGTCCTATGTATCTGCTTCATATGAGAATCTAGCAATTCTGTGAGTAAACCAAAATGAGTTTTGAACAATAAATCAACTCTTTAATAGTCACTGGGTGTGACACTTTGTAAAGCATTTCAAAGCATAATTCAAAGAGATGTGCAGGCAGTTCTCCATTTTAGTGAGTTTTCCTAATTATGGTGCCATTTAAAACCTGGTCTCTGCCCCAAGACCCTCTGAGAAAGGGCAGAGGGAAAAGAGTCAGTGGGTGCAGCTGCAGCACTGCTGGACATCAGCTCTGCTGGGACTCACTGGACCCCGTGCATCAGAGGCAAGGCACTCTCAGAGGGACTTGGTGAACAAGAGGCCTCAAAGAGGGCTTGTCTTACCACGGCAGCATTTGCATAGCCTCTGTCTTGGAGAGCTTGGGCTGTCATTTAAAAAACCTTTCTGTGCTCATTTTCTTGTTTGGGGTCTGTTGCTGAGCGAACTCGGCAAGGAAAATGAGGTGAATAAATTAAGCTTCATTAATAACAGATGATCCCCATTATCTGTAGAAAATAAGACCAAGTTGTTTAGCTGATGCAGTAGGTGCTGTTTAAATCACTCCTATAAGCAGTAGGGTTCAGAAAAGTGCAAGTAGTGCAAGTTATTCTATGTTTTAATAGTGTATCTTTTTGTGTAATTGGAAACTGGCAGGCAAGGAACACAGCAGAAACCAAATTTTTGCAGAGTGAGCAGTAATGAAACAAAAACAATTTCTTCTCTGCTCATGATATAAAACTTACCAAAATGAGATCCCAGTCTACCAGAAATAGTAAGAAATGAAGTGGGGGAGGGAAATTATCTAACTTTGAAAGAAGAGGAAACAAATGGAGAAATAGCCTCATGCTGTGGTAGAACCTGGTTCTGCATTGAGAAAGAGGCAAATTTCCTTTTGACTTTCACAGGAGCCAAACCTTAGCTCTTGTCAGAGCTGCCTGTGCTGAGCCCATGACGATGTGTCTTAACCACGTAGCTGTAGCTCATGCCCAGATGAATATCCTGTTTGGGAGCAGCCAGATATGGGATTTCTTTTAACAGAGAGAGATGGGGGGAGCATATGTAGCCTAACCCATGTCCCATCATTACATAAGAAGGCTACAAGTTCCAAGAAAGCAGTAAAACCTTCATCCTGGACCTTCAGAGAGCCTCAGACCTCAGCCACCACCCCTCATATGTGGAGTATAGATGGCAGCCGTGACAATCTAGACTTCCAAACCACATTGGATTTATATTTAACTGGCAGTAAATTCATAATTGTATCATGAGCACATGGTGCTAGGAAAAGCTGCAGCTCAGAGAAAGATGCAGCTCAGTGTGAGAGAGCCAGTCTGTGTGAAAAGGGTGATGTGTGTCTCTGACACAGGTGTTGGCTCTGGAGAATGAACCTACCCTCTGGATAAGGACTGACTGAGAAGTTGGAGATTCTTCCCCCATACATTGCTCATGAGGATGGATTCATGGAAAATGCTGCACCATTGGAAAGCAAGGGTAAGATAACATGTGAGAAGGGACTAGTTGAAAGGGCAGTGTCTGGAGGGGAAAGGACTTGGGAAAAGTGAAAAAGGGGAAAATAGGGGGCAAAATTGATGCAGTAGAGTTGTCATAGGTAAGTGGTTTTAAGCTTCTGAAATATTGATAGACCATTTTCATAAATATTTTTATGTTTATCAAATAGATGAATAAAAGAAGTGACCCACAAACATGCCAACAAACATTGATAAAGTAAATGGTTAAGGAGGACATTTAAAAATATACTTTTCTGTATATTCACTTGAATAACTAGAGATATAGCAGCCAAAATTAGGGACAAGGCACAGAGACAACATCAAGTGATTATATTCTCTCTCTCTATAATTAGACAAACACTAGCATCCTAAGCCTAGCTTGGTTTTCTGAAAACTGCATTGTTATTTTCACTACATGATGTGATACTTGGCTGTTACCAAAGTGCCTTTTCTCTCTGGAAGGATTATACCAATGAGATACAATTCTTTTGCCTCTACAATCAACAGGTTTGAATTTCACAGGGTATGATTTCTAAATCCCCGATTCTACAAAATGAGTTAGACTAATGTAACCAAATAATAATCCAATAGCTATGAATACAGAAACATTGTGTATTTCTTACCACTTCTTAACTAATGTCTTTTTTTCATTGCTTATGACTAATTGTTGTTGTGTCAAAAGCAGTAGACAGGAAAATTGGTGTTTCTTCCAAACATATCATTACAGTCACTAAAGTAATGAGGAACACATCAGATATTTTTAGATCATAATTTTTTTGTCAGGGAAAATAGCAACCTTTTTGAATAAACTGAAAATCATTATTGCTTCCACTGGGATTCTCACTGAATGCAATAATTATGGTGAATTCATTTGGTACTGACAAAGTTACAACAAAGTAATTTCCTCCATGAGATATTGCAGGGGGCCAAATTGTTCCTGGGCCAGGAATTTTTCTTTTGTCTCTGCCAAGCAGTCTGTCCCCTGACGGGGTGCCAGAGGGAGAACAAAGTGGGTGGAGAGGATGCAAATCCTAATCCCCACAAATCCTCTGGGATTGCCCTTCTCTCCTGCACCCATGGACCCCATGTAGGAGAAGAATGGACACCCAGGGTCTGGGGGGGAGGCTGGGAGCAGCCCGTGCCCTGCTGCAGGGCTTTGGGGCATCTCTGGGAGCAGGAGATTTGCATTCCATGGTTGGACTGCACACACAGGAGTGCTCAGGGGTTCCCTTTGCAAAGTAATCTCATGTATGGGTACATCCTCAGGAAATTAATCTGCATTAACTAGAGGTAAATGTGTAAAATACCTCATTAAATCACAGCAAGCTGAGGCACACAAATGTTCACTAGACTTCCAACAAAGCAAAGTAAAGCCATCTTGCTTTCAGCCAGGAGAGTCTCAGTGCAGCCTGAGAAATGTGGATATCATGTACAGTTGATTCCTCCTTCCCACTCCTCAGTCTCAATGCCAGCTTCAGGCTTTCCTTCCCTGACTATCCTGGTGACAAGCTGCCACCTCTGTTTGTGGGGCTGAGCAAGGAGTGCTACCAGGGAACTGCTGCAGGTGGAAAACAAAGCCTTTCCTCTTCTCATGCCAGCCTCCTTCTATTGTGAATCCATCATCTGATATCATTTTACCCATGGCTCTGAAACCTGCTGGAGAGGCACAGCTGAGAAGGTGATGGGGAGCAGGAGCGGGAGGCTGGAGTCTGAGGGAAATGTTTGAGCTACTATTAGCATAGGAACAAAACTGTGGACATGGATTTCACTTGCCTGTCAGCATCTTCTTCCTCAGAGTGTTCTTGTGCTTCAAAGATGCCAAAATGGTCAGGTACTGTCCTAGTACACACACCAGACCTACCTTGGGGAGTGAGAAACGTCCACAGAAGCAAAATCTTGGATGCCTTTTCATAACTAGGGCTCACAGAAACACCAGAAAATGCTTCCTTTTGTTTTTTAAACCTTGAAATTCAAGGGAAAGGGAGGGCAGGTCTCTTAACACCTCATCCACTTTCCTTGTTGTTAAGAGGATCCTGTGCACAAACACAGCTGATTTGCCCCAGAGAGCAAAACCATTGCAATCACTTCCCTACCTGAGCTCTCCCATGACTGTTTTTTGATCCGTGCTGAAATCTGTTTTGTACAGTTTTCCATAAAGGCAATTCTGCTCCTCACAGCACTCCAAAGTGACTACTGTGTGAAATATTCCAGGTGGGAGTGAGCACTGTTGGCAGTCAAACACAGCTGAATGTTCAAAACTAGGAATATTTAATTTTATATATACTTTCTAAAGACAGTCATAGGAGAACCAACATTTTCCGTTATTCTCCATTAATGATTTTTTTTAGCTTTTTATTGATTATTTTTACATTCTAAACTAGAAACTACTTGTCTGAACTAGAGAAATAGGGAGGTGTGGGGTTTTTTTCTGTTTGGCTTTTTTAAAGTAGAAAGAATAAAAAATATAAGTCAATTTAGTTCATCATATATTTAGAATAAATATCTTGGCATTGACTGCAAACAATCCTCAGATGTTTTTAAATTCATAACACAACGTTATATTTTATTTCTTTCAAAGCTTAGTGTCCTGAAGAGAGGTTAACAAGTGTTGTTAAACTTTGTTCATTAACTAGTAGGCAATTCTGGAACAAAAGCAAACCTGGAGGACACGTTGAAAAAATCCTGCAAGGTTTCTGCTAAAAAAAAAAAAAGAAATAAAGAAAAAAAGATACAAAAAAGAACCAATTGAGATGTAATAAAGAGGAAAATGTCTCCACAGTCAACTTACCTAAAAGATACAAGGCTCTGAGGGCAGTACTTACCTTGTACCAAAAATCAACATGCCTAAGTCATTCAATAGATACAAGCCACTAGGATGAATATTTCATCCTGTTCCTCAAATATATCATGGATCAAAACACTGCTATTGTTCTGAAGGCACTGAGTTTCTAAATGAGATGGTTATAACCAAAGTATTTATGCTTACTTACTTTTTTTTGAGATCAAAGTTTCACCTCACCAGAGTGGTTCCCTTTGCAGGGTAGGAGAGTGATCAGAAAATGGAATTTTGCTACAGTAGGCAGATTTAAACAGAGCCACTGATGCAGCTTAATTTAGCAGGAAGATAATTAATGTTTTAAATAATGGAATGTATTGCAAATTAATTAATTAATTAAACTTCCATGAAGGCCTTTCTCTTTTATCTCAGTTCAGTGCTCAGTTTGGAAGCTCAGGGCTCAGTTTTTCTTTCTCTTCCATCAAAGGTCCATATTAAAAATTTCATTTTGTGGCCACCTGATGGTTATTTTGCAAACTTGCCTCCTCTGCTACATGAGCTGTGACACCTCTGTGAGCACTGGGGACCAGAGGAGCTTTCCCAGCACCAGACCCAGCACAGACCTCCACATCCTTCAGTCAGCATTGAGCCCTGGGAGCCCTGCTGACTCGTTTCTGTGGGCAGACTGGGCTGCACAGGGGATTCTACAGCGTCTGGATATGGCAGAAGACTTCGAAAGGCAACCTTGCAACATTTGATTTGGTTTTATACAAAACCATCTGTGTTTTCATATATGCAGGTCAGAAAAGTAAGTCTGCATGAGCCAGCACTCAAATCCCAGAAACATTGCTAAAGGATCAGCATTGGCCTATGAGAGGCAGATATCAGCTCAGATACCTTTAAATATGTGAATAATCTCTAATTCAGCATTCCTTTGATGCATTAAATTCTGGCAACTACTTGGGAAAAACCTCTGTGCAATGATTTGAGGTGTTTCAAGACTTCCAGGAGTGAAACCTAAGGAGACTTAGACTCTTAAATCATGTTGTGGCTTCTGAAGACATCACAGCCATGCTGGGAACCAGCACTACAAAATTAGTGGGAAATCACTACATCACTTTTTGTGGTGTACAAAGACTGAGCCTTGTGGCTGCACACGAGCAATTCCTGCCATTTGCTGAACCTGTCCTTCAGATATGGGTCTGTGCTGTTCCAGTGGGGATCAGGATTTTGGCCTTCTGTCCACAGGTACATATGGGTTAAAAGACAACCATGGAATACAAATCTGTTGCCAACAGGCTGAAATCCACTGTGCAAGGATTGGCACCTCAGCTGGAGGTCATCAGCATGTACCTTGCTACCCATAATCAGTGCCTTCATAGACTCACAAAGGCATTGTATCAGAGAACATCTGCATGAAACCTTGGCACTGCTAAAGTCAACAAGAGCTTTGACTGTGATTTTCAGCGTCTTTATCTGAAATACTGCTTCATTTTTTGAAGGTCAGCTGAAAGGGCTGGGTAGTTTTATGCTTACATGGTAACATGAAAAGAATGACAGGGCTGAAAAGCTTAATGATAGTTAATTTAGGGGCACTATTAAGGCTGAATAAAAGTCAGTATTTAGAGATAAAAGTGGATGAATTCATTTCTTAAAAAAGGTAGAATTACTGTAGTATCAGAATAAGTGTACTTTATAATAGTTTTTCAGAAAATGTCAGTTCTGGGACAGAAAGAAAATTCCTATGTTGTTTTTAAGCTTTCACATATATTATAAAACTGCTCTCCACATTAATTTTCTTGCAATTACATTTAGCAGCTTCTCTTTTTTTTATCATTCAAAATAAACCCTGCCAATACTCTTCATACTTTCCCTGGACATAAGGACACAGTTTTGCTGTCTGTGGCTGAGTAAATAGTTTTTTCAATGCCCCTTGCTTGGTGACTGGTGTCCCGTTTTACAAAAGGATTGCGAGCTAGGATTTATCATCCCAGGCATTTCCTTTGCAGAGCAAATGGAAATTACTGAGTTTTCTGGCATTCAGCAGGGACTGCAGAGATGTGTATGCATGTATGACCTACTTTTGTGTGCACAACCTGCATTTAAGGAGAGGAGATGCACAAGTTGCCAGCTCTGGTGAAGCTGTGAAAAGGGCACCGCCAGAGTCAGACTGTAAGTCCTGAGTCTTCAGACTTTATGTAACAACTAGAATATAACCAGCCCCTAGCCATGGACTGTATTTCTCTGGACAGATGTAGCAATTTGAAATAATTACATGAAGTGTCTAAAGACCCCATTCATGTCGGGTTAAACAAGAGACAAATGCAGACTCACTTTGTTGGGAGGACTCTGTGTCTGTGCTACTGGAGGATACTTCTCTCACAGCATTGCACCTTTTGCTGAGATACAGCTCCTGAATCGATTCAGCTGAGTGTTATATATAAAAAGACGTGATTTTGGCTTAGCTTGCTAGCTGCAAGAACAGTGTCACCAACCATAATAAAAAAACTGTCTCGCCCAGCTTAGAGATGCCATTGTATTCTGCTGTTGAGAGCAGAAGGAAAGAGGAAGGCCTGAAGTCTGGAAAGGCACAGAGGCAGCAAGAAGAATAAGTCTCTAGAGGTAAATGAGCAGTGTAAATTACACCTTTTCAGTTTATTAAGTACTAATTAAAGCTTGCAAGCCTGGCATTCTTTTACCAGACATGTGGTGCCAGGAAAACAGCCACCCGTGTGTTCGGAGGTCGACTGCTATCCTGTGATTATACAGAATCCAAGCGTGGCTTTTGCTTTTTTGGGCATTGCAGCCATTTGAATAATATATCCCCAGCATGCCTGGCTGGGGTGATCCATTATTCACAGGCAGTTATTGTCCAAGAGGGCTGTGACTGCTTCAGGGAGCTCATGTGATGCCCAGGCAGCCTGTCTGTATGCTGGGAGCCTCCTGAAGGTCTGAGTGACCTCAGGAGATGGAAGAAAGATTCCCTGGCCATCCCTCAGAAGCAGTGAGAATGAGCTGATCCCTGGTATCTTTAGGCAGGGCATTCATGACTCTGAATGGAGCCATTGCTACTAAATATACTATAAATCTCCGTGTAGCTCCAGGTAAAAAATACATGTTCCCTGAAGCCCTCCTCTGTGAGGAATGTTTCATTTGCAGAAGGTTTGTTCTGTTTTTTTTCTGCAGAGAGGTGACGAACCACAGAACATTTGCAACATGGCTGCCACCAAGTCTGCTGCTGCTATCAAAGCCAGGCAGAGGGTGAAGGAAGGGACCACAAAAGGATGACAAGGTAGATCCAGGGGAGGTTATAGGGAACATCCTGCAAGCAGGAAAGTGCACACAAAGAGCCTGGTTTGAAAATTAGTGGCAAAGGTTAAGAGGAAACAGAGGATCCCCTCCTGATACCTAAGGGGAAAGGAAAATTTGTCAGGGAGTGAAGGAGCAGTAGAGCTAGGGAATTGGAATAACCACTGGGAAGCTACACCAGGGAGCACAAGCACCCTGTGCTGCAGGAGAGGGAGGAAAGGGAGGTGCTGTTGAGGAGAGCAGCAAGGAGAATGCTGTGTGCAGCCCTGCTTTGCCAAGGCCAAACAGGAGCCTTCCATGAAACCTCAGGGTCAGGGTACCAGTCCTTGGTTTCTCTGGGTCTGCATTGAAGGCACTTGAGACGGTAGTTCATGTTCACACTCAGGTGTTTATTGTTTCTTATCTGTAAAACACTCTCACTATTGAGAGTTTGGCAGCTTTTCATTAGCAAGGCACAAAATGGCTAACAGTCTCTTGTTACAAGGTCTTTTAAAGCTAAACTATCCAATTAAGAACTGACACCTAGATTATTTTCCCTTTTAACCCAATAACTGATCCCAAAGAGCCCCCAGTGGGGACTTTTCTGCCCAACTACAAAATGCCACCCAAACCCATGAAGAAGAAGGAAGAAGAAGCATGAAGAAGAAACCCAGGACAACACCCTGTGCCCTCCATCTTGCTTCCATCCACAACATACTAAAAATCCCAAAACCTAAATTTCTCACCAAGTGATACATCTACACTGCTCTCTGTAACCCATTTCAAACTTTTGTGGATTCCAGTCTGTCTTGAAGTCTAGGAAACTTTCTCCATGAATGAGGGTCAAAGTCAGTGCTCCCCTGGGGGTCAGGGCATCCCAGAGCAGACAAAGAAATATTCCCAGTGCTCTAGGTTTCCACTCCTCAGCTTTGAGATGATGAGAACCCAAACAGGACCTTCGTCCAAGAGTCCAGCTTAGCTGTCTGGAGCTAGTTTAATCATGCCCTAAAGTGGTTTTTTCCCACATTCCAGAAGCAAACAATAGTAACTCACCAAAGACTTTTAGTGGCAGTGAAGCCAATGTGAGATCAAGGGTGGCTAGTTTGGTCATGTACAACATGATCTGCAGGCTTTAAACAAGGAGCTCACTTACTCTGGGCTGTTCTCACCTGCCTTTCTTTGTACAGTGGCTTTGCATTGCTCTACAAAGGCAGCTCAGTCTAAGCTATATTTTGCCCATACTTTGTGAATGTTTACAGTGAGCTTCTCCCAGACAGAAAACGAAGCATGGTGGATGTTCCTGCTAAATCCCATACCAGCTAAACCCCAGCTATCTGAACATCTTCAGCATAATTCCAAATAATCCACTTGGTGTATACAGATAAATAGAAGAAGGGTCAGGCGAGATTAGGTTACTGGTTTTCTTTCAATGTTTTAGATGTTTTGCTTTCCTTCCCTTAAGTTGCACTGCTAAAATTATTTCTTCTCTCATGACTTAAGGTAACTGTGATATGACAGGTTTTTCAGTTTACTGACAAAACTATTCAAAAAAATACAGGAACTCCCCCAATCCTGTTCATTTTAAAGATGTTTTTAATACTGTTTTTCCTTTCTTACGAAGCTGAAAGCATTTGGAAAAAAAAAAGTTTGAGGACAGATGAAACTGGATTTTAGTTTAATGCTTGCATAGTAATAACAGAACAGTTAGGCTGAAAAGCTTAACAACAGTTAATTTAGGATAATTATTTAGTCAAAATAGAAGATAGTATTTAGAGATAAAAGAAGATAGAAGTTTTCCAAAAAAGTATGTTCTGGGAAAAAAAACTAGGAAATGCAAAACCTCAGCATGCACTTCCCTTGACAGTTGAATGACAAAAATTCATCTCGGGACATTGCAGACCCAAAGGCAGCACGTGCATGCCCCTATTTTGGCTTCATAATTAACCAAGAATTAGTGGTGGATATCAGCATAAAACTGTTATTTGGGTTGACTACATGTAAGCTATTGTGAGTAAAACTGTATTGTGAGGCAGAAACAGGAGAGAGTGCAAGTTCAGAGCAATCCCTCCCCAGGTGGCATTCCTTAATACTGCAACCACTTTGCTTAATTATGCAAATGCCACTGAGAGTATTAAAGGAAAAGGCTGGAATCTTTAATTGTGTGGACCTCCTTGTCTATATTTTGGATACATCCAACTGTTAAGCTGTAATACTTTTAGGACTGTTTGTAGTAATTACTTTGTGCTAACTGTATTCTGCACAGAGGAATTACTGAGATTTTTCTAATTTTGGAAGAGACTCCTCCATTTTTGGCAATCATACTTTGAATTATAAAGTAATTAGTTGATAGAAATGTTTTACTCTAATGAGACATTAGTTCTACAATGATTTCTGGTAAAATGTATCGAAACAAGACTTCAAATTTTGACTTAAAAATAGTAGAAATGAAATGAACACATGGACCAAATACATTTTTTTTATAGATTTCCACCTCAGTTTACAAAAATGCAGCCAAATAAATAATGTCAAAGTAACAATTCCCAGTCTTACATTATTGTTAGGATAGCTATAATTGTAAAGAACACCAAACATTGTAAAAGTTGTCTTTGCATCTCACACCTGTGGGGTAGATGGCTTACCTGGAATACAACAATACATAAGCAACATCAGTTTAAGTCTGGGTTATTTTAAGCTGTTCAAGAGGAGAAGTTGATCCAAATCCACCTTCCATCATCACACATGATTGAATGTAAGAAAGATTTACTCATCTAAGTGAAAACAGGGAGAAAGTCACTCCATAGGATTTTCAAAGGCTTCTCTTGTGATGTGTCTACATTGTTCATATTTTTGTCTAATGCATCAACATACCATGAGATACAGAAACTAATTACATCATCTCTAAACAGACTTTTATCAACTGGATGATTATATATTTACCTTATTCAATAAGGGATTATTCTGGGATAGTATTTGAACCTCCACTCTCTTTTGCACCTTGCATCAGAAGGAGAAAAAGATGAGATCAGGAGAAAGCCCCAGCGAAGCTGCTGAGGGCAGCAAAAGTGGCTGGAGAAATTTGAGTTAAATTGCAGTGAATCAGTTCCTCAGCAAGAAAGGGGATTAATTACTGTGCACATGTATGCAGTCAGTAATGGCAGATAATTTGGAATGAAGATTAATTGTTTCCTTAATATGTGATGTTTGCTAGCCAGACTCTGCTTGCCCGCTGCCACAGCCTTGTGGGAGCCCTGCCAAAGAGTCTCTTAGGAGCATATGAAAAGAAGGAGGGATTATCCCTTCATGTGCCCTTTATGGTGATTTCCAAATATTTCAGTTTAGACTGTGCTCATGTCACTGTGTCAAGCTAAAATTGCCCCTGAGGCTGACTCATGCTGTGAAGCTCTCCATTTCCCCAGGCAGAAAGCCTTCAGATTGGAGAGGTCTGGGAAAATGGAAAAGCTGGCAAAAAAAAAAAAAAAAGAAAAGAAAAGAAAATAAATATGATGTCTAGAGAAGACCAGTATTCATTCTGTAAGGATCACTTCTCTTTAAGGAAACATGCCTCCACCTCAGCAGGGTCCTGACCTGAGCCTACTGGAGGATGTGTGGCATCAGGGAGGCAACTTTCAGGCTCACATTTGTCACAATGAACACTAAAAATTACCTCTCTGCAGGGCCTTGGCTTCTGTGCTTACTTGCAGCTGTCCTGCACTTACAGCTCTCTTCTAACTCCAGAGAAGCTACTTGCCATCTTTATGGTGAGCCTAGAGGAAAGGAGAATGAGACCATGTGTCTATCCTATAAAAACATTGTTATCCTGCAGCCAGTGGCACCTGCTGTGGTGGAAATTGCCATTACAGGACTAGGAGCTGACTTTTAGAAAAATGAAGAGTCTTCTCAAAGGTGTATCAGAGCCTGAAGCATCCGTTAGACAGATCACCAATGATAGTTTGTATTTAAAGTACCACAGCAAGAAAGTTGAAATTCCACAATATTAAGCACTTGGAAACTTTTCATTAATATATGAAGAGGGTTTCTCACAATCTGGATGTCTTGAGGATCTCAGGTATTTACAGACTCATTCAGCTCTCTGCAGGCAGTAGACTGAAATTCACCCAGGTCTTTATTAATTGGTGCTTGCAAGTGACTCTGCTCCTGGCAGCATAATTCCCCAGGAACATTTCGATGCATCACAAAAATGACCAAGAACTACAACCTTGTCTGTAATCCCAGTTATAGGACTAAGTAGTAAATGGATGTGTAGCCTGAATTATCCCTGTCCTTTTGGAGGCAGTTCTTGCAGTTAAGGAACACCTTGGAGGAAGAGGGCTTGAGCTCTCTGTTCAGGTGTCAAATTTACATGCAATAAGCACTGCATTATTTTTCACAGCACAAGAGTTGAAATCCTGCTCTTGCACTGAAAATGTAAATACCAAAGCAAAACAAAAAGTGGCAGTGAAGATGGCCTTAAAAGGATGGAGCTCCATAAACACTCGTGTTGATTTATAGGCCCTTGGTAATCCAGTATTTCTGTGTTTCACTGGACTATAGGAATGTATGAAGAATTACTGAATTAATGCATGATATCCATAAAAATAGGAATTTTTATGAATGCCATGTATTAGTCCCTCTGGTCTAGTAGCATGGTTGCAGCATATAATTAGCAGCTCTATCAGCAGGAGTCAACATTTGTCAAATTATCGTTACATTAAAATATGCTTTACACGCACCTCTTGTGCAATCACAGAAGCCAAGTTCTTGCATATTCTCAAACAAAAAACCCAGCCTTCCTGTAGAGTGGTCCCACTGACTGCATTAACATGCTCCAAGAGTTAAGGTGATATAGACCACCTCGTTAGGGTTACATAAGCATCTGGCCCTCAGCACTCTGTAGTGCTCTCAGTTGCCTAGGTAAAATGGAAGAGAGTGAAAGCACATTGATGAAATGCTGATGTAAAGCCCTTCTTAGCCCAAATTGGGCTAAAGGTCTCCTCAGAAGATCTA